TTGAGAGCATTGATTTTGTCTTTCATATTGTCGTCATTCATGGCATCGAAGCCTCAATTATCGTCTATCTATCTATCTATCTATATATATATATATAACATTTTCTTGTATCAGTTGATTAGAAATGGTATCAAACGAATGAATTCTTTAGCTCTTAAAGAAACAATAAGTCATTAGACTTTACAGACTGGACCTACAAAATCACAAATATCTTATAAACCGTCATTACAGAATCACAAAAAAACTTCATCAACAAATATCATATTTCAGCATCAGCTATAACTAAAATTATTAGCACATGAAACTTTAGGATAAAATAATTTTATAAACGAAATGTTGACTTTTCACATGACATTAAACAAAATGTTAAGAAAGAAACTCTTTTCAGAGAAAGATTTCATAAATTTTACTAACAGCTTGCTCAATAAATGTCAAATGTTTTCTCCAGAGAAACACTTACTTTCACCATTAACATTGTCAATTATTAATAATAAGCTCAGAATTAAAAAAAAAAAAAACTACATTGCATTGTCTTATTTTCCATGAGACCTTCCTTGGCATCTGTGTCATATAATGGTCAAGAAGCTAATCTTGCTAGGTCACTTCGTATTATCATGGCATCGAGAATTGTACCTTATCCGATAAATATTTTATTCCACCTTTCCCGAAATCTTTCACCTTCTGGGTAAGACGATAAAAGAAATCCAACAAAAAAGCTTCTGATCAGGTGGTTTTGTGGAACCACCTCTTAATTGCTGGTGTTCCCAGGTCCACCCTGACCTGGTGGGATAGCACCTGTTAGGGTCCCAGCTATGGGCAAATAGCTAACCCCCAAACTGGAGTCAAAACACTATGAAAGTATAAAAATAAGTTTTAATGCCAGCAATACATTTTTGAAGAATAAATTATTACATCAATACGTTTTTGGGAGAAAAAATTTGCAGTAATAAATTTTTGAAAAAAATATTACCAGTAATAAAAATCTTATCGGCATTAAATAACACATTGAGTTTGATATGCAGTAAACCAAACCGAAATCTTTCATTGCTCTAAGGTTTAATGGCTCCAAGACAAGTTACTGAATTATCATTCCATTCTCCGTTTCTATATTTCCAAACATTTATTGGTAAGTTTTACTCTTTTTAAATTTTCCATGGTTTTGCTGATGGCGAAATTGAATTTCTGGTTTCACTCAATGTTTCGTTTCTTAAGAAGGCCAGAAACTGACAAAATATATTTGCTTGGTTCGTATAATAAATTAATTTAGAGAAATTAATCAGGTAATTAATAGCATTATCATCAGGAAAGAAAAATAGCTGACAATTTTTTCATGGTATTAAGTTTTGAAAGCATTGCATAGATAGATAGATAGATAGATAGATAGATAGATAGATAGATAGATAGATAGAAACAGACTAATAGATAGATAGAGAGAGAGATGAACAGACTGCGATAGATAGATAGATAGATAGATAGATAGATAGATAGATAGATAGATAGATAGATAGGACTAATGTAATATGGATACAAACGACGAAAATAAATCAATACAACATTGGATAATGTCGGTATATTTGCATCAAACATACCGTTCAGTAAGTCGTAAATGTGTATCATTAGCTCTTTTTAGACAGTGCTAACTAAAATAATAATAATAATAATAATAATAATAATAAGAAGAAGAAGAAGAAGAAGAAGAAGAAGAAGAAGTAGAAGAAGAAGAAGAAGAAGTAAATAATGGTTATAAGACGTTATTTTTCGATTATGTAAGTCACCAACCGCACCTGTCTAGCTAAATTAAGAGATGTAAATTTCGCGCCTTCGTGGATCAACTAAATAACAGTAAATATAAAAGGGGAAGCTCTCAGACAAACTAATCTCCTTTTCCGTAAGTATTTTTTCTTCATATATTACCACATTTCTAACTCATGATAACGTCGTTAAAACTTCAAATTTATCGATATCAGCTTCGAAAATAACAGATAATCTCAATGATTACTTGCATAATCTAAAGCTTTTCCGTCTTATCTTTTCAAACAGTGATGACAAAAACATTTCCTTGAACACAAGATGGTTGTATTTACAACTTAGAAACATTCTTATATTTCATCTAAACTTTTTTATTCTGCTTGTCAATATAGATAGACTGAAAGCAGTTCTTTGATTATAAGATGTTCAAATTGCATCACTCATTATCGAACACCTCTTTGAAAGTTTTCTTAAAAAATCTATTCGTAAAAATCAATATCTATTTTTCGGGATTTCAGATTTAAATAGAATTCATCACAGACATAAAGGTAAAACATACCAGCAACAATGAAATGTACCCACATTAACTTACAAACAGTCTTCTTGTATGAAATCAAAGTTGTATTTTCCTGCATGTTTTACTATTAAATAGTAATGATAATAAGAATGTTGAATATTTCAAATCTAAACAGTTAAACTAGACAAAGAGCCTGTTTTTCTTCATCTATTCGAATCTAATAAAATTCGGTAATATATAATGAAGAATGAGATTTCAGAGTTCAAGGAGGTCCGTTGACCTTTCTTACGAACGACACTTTTTTTTTACCGTTCCACATCCGAAGTTGGCCACGTGACTAGTTCAAAACGCCACAAAGACTCGTCAAAAGACTGAAAGTGAAAGCAGTTATTTTGACACTCTGACTCGTGTCAAACGGCAGGCAAGCACAAACACACGTACACAAAATATCCCTTTTTTATTGCTGTCCCTGAAAAATTTAATATAGAAATCGGTTTTTGCGTATGTGTGTTTGTGAATTTTGTCTATATTGCCACCTCCCTCAAAAATGACAGATACAAAAGTCAGGATTCTAGAGTGAGTCCAGTTACTTCAGTAGACAATGATTTACAAATTTTACTATTAATGATACTTGTTTGCTTGCACAATACATACGCTATTCCCGTTTTTCCAATAGCAGACTTTTCTAATCTCAACACAAGTACGATTTCAGACCGATAAACCTAAATAATAATATTAAGTGAAAGGAAATTGGGAAAAAAAAAACGACAGGTCCGAGGAAAGTAATGCATGAATGAGGAAAATGAGTGAGATAAGAAAAATAAAAACAAAAAAACAAAAGTAGCAGGAACAAATAGCATGCATGCGCGCACAGACACACACACGCATGCGCGCGTACGCATACGCACACACACACACACACACACATACATGTATATAAATTATCTCAGAATTATAGTCAGCGTAGAATCAACATTGTATGATGACTGTCATTTACACGCCTGAAGTGATATCTAGTCAATGAAAGTCTGAAAATCGCTTGAGGCGTGAGACTGACAGTCACCATACAGTGTTGATTCTTATGTCAGTACTCTATCTATCTAGAGAGACAGAGAGAGAGAGAGAGAAAGAGAGAGACAATTAGTGAGTGAAGAAAAGGATGGAGATTAAAGAAAGATAATGAGAAACAGATTTGCCAGAAAGGATATCAAGAAACAATGCGTGAAAGTTTGAGAATCAGGTAGGGATGGAAAGATGCAATACATTGATGCAATTCTTTATGAAAAGACAGTACGAAATTATAATAAAAAATAGAAAGCATTTTTGCATATTCGATATTCCTTTATTAAATATAGAACTAATTAATGTTTCTACAGCACTTAGATAAAAAAAAAGATTTGAAGGAATAAGGGAACGAATGAGAAGCTACAGGCAAAGGGTAAGGGATGCGCAGAAGCATGAGAAAATCTTGGTTATCAACAACAGTTAGAATCCAACTAATTGTTCCGTTACAATTGCATCACTTAATACTGCAGACGCTCTATACACCTTGCAAATAACCAATATTTTAGTGTTCAAAATAATTCACCTTTTCTGTTTGATAGACTAATTAAATATAAGATCATGAAAAGAACGAGATGCTGAAAAATTATCGACCCAACCTTTTTAACAACATCTGACCATTCATCAGATTTTATTGGAAGGTTTTTTTTTGTTATTCTAACAAGTTTCCGGCACCTCTCCCCCGTATTTGAGTCTAAAATCAAGTCGAGTCTAAATCATGCTACTTGAATAAACAGGACATGTTTAAAATAATTTTGACCATGTGTTAGCAAAAATAAAAAATAAAAAATAGCGTTATTAATATGGAACGCTTGCATGGATATGTGTTTGTGTGTGTGCGTACATATATACATGTATATACATAAACATATAAATCAACACTGGATGCTACCTGGCAGTTTCATAACTGAAATTGCTTGTTACTATATCCACAAACGCCTGATATTAAGCATGCTTCCCTCATATATATATATATATATATATATATATATATATATATATATATATATAGAGAGAGAGAGAGAGAGAGAGAGAGAGAGAGACACAGACAGACAGAAAAATAGATAAAAAGTGAGTGAAAGGATTTAATTTTTTTTTTATGCTTTTTGCTTCGTTATTTTCATAGCAAAACGATATAAACCTGAGTTTGATGTGTAACCATATCGGTTCAAATTCGGTCACTCGTCGTAGCATATATATATATATATATATATATATATATATATATATATATATAGAGAGAGAGAGATGGGGGAGAAAGGAGGAGGGGGAGAGTAGGAGGGGGGAAAGAGATATACGTACGTGTGTGCCTATATGTCTCTGTTAAAGTGAAAGTCCTAAGAATAAAAAGACCCATGAAGATTATCGTTAAAAGATTAATGTCGTCTGAAAATAAATTTTAATTAAATTTCCGACGAGTGGAGCTGAAAATTTATCAGGGTGTCCCACTACCCAAGTTTGATTAAATGCGCCTACTTCAGAGGTTTTGGGTGAAGATGACCTCGCTCAAATCGCGATCCTGCTTCCTTTTTTTTTTCTTTTTTTTTTTTTTGGTAGTTAGTTTGAAAATTATGAAAAATATGGATATTAATTGTGGAAAGGAAGAAACTCTCATTGGTAAAAGATTGCAGTCTCTTCACTTTCTTTATATTTATCACAGGAATCCGGTAGTTTATAGAAGAGGATAGATAGATAGATAGATAGATAGATAGATAGATAGATAGATAGATAGGGAAGAGTGATAGATAGATAGATAGATAGATAGATAGATAGATAGATAGATAGATAGATAGGGAAGAGTGATAGATAGATAGATAGATAGATAGATAGATAGATAGATAGATAGATAGATAGATAGATAGATAGATAGATAGTGATTATTTCTCACATAAAAAGAAATAATGCAGTAAACCTGTCAGGGAATAAATAAAAAAAACGTCAAATTAAAGCGAATAAATACAATTGAAGTTAGGAAAATATTGATCAATTTTCGTAGCTTGATTTGATTAACGTAATCGAAATATATATATATATATATATATATATATATATATATATATATATAGGGACATATATCGATTCTTTGATTATGAGAGCTAGCTATATAAACTGAGAGAAATGTACTCACCTGTACCAATCAAATCCCTTTTGGTAGTGCCGATCAAAGAAATGTGGCTCTGGTCCCGGTGCCCTAACATTGGGGTGAAGGCGCAAAAATTCCAACACTGCTCGTGTGCCTCCTTTTTTAACACCAATTATTATAGCTTGCGGCAGCTTTTTAGTGGCAGTGTGCTGGACTCTTACGCCCGAGGGTCCATTGCGGCCATTGAGGACATAGGGGCTGTGCCCCGCTCGGCCGAACAGAGCGCCGTCAAGAGACACGTCAGCAGTTACCGGCGCCGGTGCAAGGACGGAAGCAATCGATACAGAAGATGAAGATGATGATAGAGATGCTGACTGATTTTGCACTGATGTCTGTATGTCCCGCTTTGACTGGTGATATTGCTGCAGGATCGAGGGTAGTTTAGCTACTGTCTTCACCCCGTGTCGAGCTGAAGACGAAGACGTCGGTACAACTGCCACAACGGGTGACAATGACGATAACGAGGCTCCTTGCCTTTCTTTTCGGAAAGCAACACCCAGCAGATTCGCTTGCGGAGAAAAAGAACTCCTTCGAGTAAACGACGAAGAAGCTGATGGCGATAAAAGTTTTGAATATGCTAAGGACGTTCTTGTTTGCGTTATATCGTATCTGGGTTTATTAAGATCATCATCCTCAATACTTATATCGCTATCTTGCTTAACTACCCTGTCGACCTCTTCATAATAATCAATGTCATCTCCATCCTCATCATCTTTGTATTCAAAATACCTATCATTATTTTTAACTTTGCTATCTACAGATTTATCTTCGGTTTTGGGACTCTCTTCAGTGGCAACAAAGTGTCCTTTTGTTACAGATTCTAAACCTGGCACACTTGATTTAGTTTCAGACTTGCCAGTTGTCTTCGAAGCACCAGGAAAATAATAATAGTCCTTTTGATCGTTCATATATATCACACTGTTCTCATCATTGACTTCCCTAGCCAAGTTACCATCGTCGATGGATACATTGTCATCAACGGTGTCAATGTTGATTTGGTGAGAGTTACCAATATCATTTATTGTACCAATATCACGAGTGCCGGTGACACGAGAAGAAATGTCCGCTTCTGAGTGAAATATTAAATGTTTCCCTTGCTTAATAGATTCTTCATTCTGTTTGAAGGAGACAGGCGTTTTCGTAGATGTCCGCTCACTTTGAGAAATAACTTGTTGCAGAAACTCGGATTTTAAATTAATCTCCTCGGATTTACTTTTCGATAAAATTTTCTTAAAGTCTATGAAATTCTTTTTATCAGATCTTTCGTTTTTCTCTGTTTGAAAATTGATCTGTTCAGAAGGATTGTTTCTACTGGAACTACTGAATAATGGAATCGGTGTGTCTTCTTCGAAATAAACCTCTTCACTATACACTGGAAAAACAGAGTTTTTAATGGTGTCCTGTTTGTTTCTGTGGTCTGTTCTGCTTCTTTTCTCATATTGTCTGTCCTGTAAAGAGTTTGAACTCCAATCGTTTTGGGGCAATTTCACATCGTTTATTTTCCACTGCCAAAAATGAAATAGGGTCGATTTTTGGTCATGACGAGATCTTAATTTTTCTAATCGTTGTGAATTTTGCTCTATTTCCGATTTTCCTTGTTCAGTGTGCATTTGTTCTTGCGCTGATTTTGATTGCTCCTCTTGCATTAGAAGTGCATTATGATGGCGATTCTGTGCATGTTTCAAGAAGCGGATCGCCACTTCTTTCGGTTGATATATTTGTGCTTGGCTTCGTTGTGATGAAATATCAAAAGTTATGGAACGTGGAGACTCAGGAGAGTGAGACAAGGACGCTTCAGTCAAGGCGAATGTATCCGAGGATGGTGCAAGCAAGATTGTCCTCGACCCAATCTTTTTTCTGTAAAATTCGCGATCAAGGACCGAAGCCGGACCAGCAAAGTGCCCAGATACAACCAACATTTCGGAAGAACCGATTCCCAAATTTTGGGACATGGCTCTTCTTTCCTCGTCAGGTCGTGACCGCAATGTAGAAAAGGACTGGTCCGATTCTGGTATGGAAATATCCGACATAGAGGATGAGTGTGGGCTATCTGATAAAACTGCCCCTACTCTTGATTCCCAGCGTGTGGGTAACGCTGATCCTTCAACGGTAATGACCGTGCAACAACTAAATAAGAGTGAATAGACCATGGTCATAAAAAATCCAATCGTCATAACGGTTAATATCAATATTCTACGCCTCGTCCGGAATTTCCGAAAACTGTTCATGTCCGGGTTGGCCGTGACAACATCATCGTTTAGGAAACAGACAACCGGGCCACCCGTATATGATTGTTGTGGGATGTTTCGACTATCAGTACCCTTAACATTTTGAGTGCTATGGGTTGAAGACCTGTCTTCCGTATATGTATTGTTCGTTTGCTTGCTGATGTCTGTGTGCTGAGTGTGGCAAGTGTCTGTTGCTGCTTGAATGTCGGAGCTAATATCAAAGACTGTAGAGCTCGATATTGCTGAAAGGGTGGAGGTGGTTGTAGTGACAATGCCGGCTGCCCTAGGATCTGGCACTTGCATCGGGGTGACATGGTTATCCTGGAATATCATGCCACGTTAAGTTTTCAAAAGTTTCAATTTCTGTGTCAAACGGAAATGCAATAATGTAAGCGACAGGTGTAACAACAGATGGGACGGTATGCTGGATGTAGAGTTTCTGGCTGACGAGGCTGAAATAACCTCTGCTCGAAAAAAACAAGTGTCCGAAGTATTTGTGAAGTTGTTGTTAGTGGGGTCCGGAAGAAGAATGACACCGTTTGAAATGTCCGCAGCTTGAAAGGCAACGTTAGCGGCCACAGAGAGGGACGTGTCGGGGGAAAGCTGGCCGTCGTGATATGTGTGGGTCTAAGACGACAAGACAGTAGCAGTCGGAGTAGGAGACGAAAAGATGATGACAATAGGTTAAGATCAGGAGAATATAACAATACTGATGCTGGTTGAACTGAAACCGATGAAGTTAAGCAGTTGGCGATTATCTCAGTTAGAGATGAAAGTACCCGTAGTTGAAAAAATGACAGAAATGTTTGCAATTGTTTTTCTTGAAAAAGTGTTTGATGTAAATAAAATAAAAATGCTGATGACACTAAAGAATTAAACGAACTGGTTAGCACGCCAGAAAAATAGGAGTAAGTGTTTAAAAGTAATACTGCGATGTTGTTATTGTTGTTATTGTAGTTCTTTCTGTTGGTTATCCATTGTTGATTAGTATCCTGGTAAAAACAATTCAGATGATTGTAACTGTAATTTTGGATATAGTTGTCTTTTTTTATGTAGTTGTACCCGCTGTTGCTGCTTTTGCAATACTCTGTACTAATAAAATGCATCCTAGTTGAAAGAATTAATCTTCTGGGGTAGCGGGTAATGGGTGGACCCCACTGCCACGGAGCGGACACTTTATCTGTGTTCACGAAAGAATCTGGCCAGTCCGTATATTTCTGTTATTGTCGGATAAATTGAAGAAAAGAAGGATGAATGATGCGATAGTTGGGTGGATTTGGAAGCGGGTGTTGGTGCTAGGTTTCGCATCGGTGGACGCACCTAAGTAACATCCAGGTGCTTTATAAATACTAGCAAATATTGCACTGAGATCAGTGGGCAGTGGCAAGACATAGCACACCACTAGCCATTGAACTGAATTAGTTTTCTCAGATGCATCACATGTGCGGCTTGTATTAGCAGAAGTAGCAGCGATAATACCAGCGGAGATCGTGGGGTTGTGTATGTGCCCATCGCAGAGGGCTCTGGCAGTAGTGAATGAATAGTGAGGTCGAGGTGTAACAAGGCAAGCAATAAGGATGGAGTGGGTTTGCGAAAGCGAGTAAGAAAGAGAAAGACGACAAAAAAGAAAAGACTAAGTGATTCTATAAATAAAGAGACAGAAAAGAAAAATAATGAAAAAGTGAAGGCGGGACGCACAAAAAAAAGAAAGAGTATGTCTCAAACTTGAATAAAGAGATAAAGAGGGTACAGAGTTGGATCACGTGACTGACGAAGGATGATTGTGATTGGTTGCTTTTACGGCCTCTGTTAACACTAGCATTCTTCGGGCCGAACAACGTTTACTCCTACTATATATGATCGCATGGATGTCAATGTTTGCGATTGAATTCATGTACGTTGTCTGGCTTCTCGGAGTGTAAGTCAGATACAAATATATATTTATTATTTTACATTTCACAAGATAATCTAAAGTTTACCTCTTGAAATGTTATCATTTCACTTTGTTGTTGATTTCGTTATTAGGTTCAAACAAGAAAAAAATCTTTGGGATGGCAAAGTAAAATTCCTTTTATTGGAAATCTAGAAGAAATTATTCACCCTTTCACCCTTTATTGCAAATAAACGATGCAAATTAAGAGAAATTTAGTCTGTCTTTTAAAAAGCAAAGCAAAACATGAGTTTTTTTTCTTATTTATTTACTCCACTAGGCACATAATTAAAGAAAAAGAGCACCAACTACTAACCACTTAAGTAAAAGGTAAAAAAATATGTACTGTACTGTACTCTATTCAGGGTGAGATTATTACCCTCCATGCTACAGTAGGCGTCCCTGTGTCATGTTACTTAGTTTGCTATAAGGCCATAATCTAGTGAGAAACGAACTCAGTATTTGCTTAAAAATGTAAGATGATCTTTATTTCCTTACCGAAAAAGTTGTCAGTTATGGAATAGTTCATTCTATTTACATAAAATCCTAAACCTGATATAACATTTTTTTTTTATTTTTATTCTCGTTTTTTCTTTCTCTCTAAACACACACACACGCACGCACGCACACGCACGCACACACACATACATACACACACACACACACACACGCACACTAGCAACGAAGACTCATATTAAAAAATGTAGTGTTTATGAATATTAAGTTCTGTAGATAAAATGTTTGGGCTTCGGGATATAAAGTTATTTCATTTATGAAGTAAAATATTTTGAATATTAGGAACTTGAAAATTAGCAATAATCCTTGTTGAACTCACTTACGAAGTGGTGAGCTGATTGTGACAGGCTCATCTTAAGTTAAGGTTCTTAACAAACAATTGAAAATATAACAAAGCAAACCTGGAGAAAGAGAAACAATTACAATAAAGAAAAACAAATAAAATCCATGAAGTCTGGTCTTCAGAAAAACAATAAATAATTTTTAAAATTCATTTGTACATATCTCGTAAACGTTCGTCTCTTTAATTTCACGATAAATCTCTTTCACGTTTTGTGTCTGTATGTGTGTATGCGTTCGTGTTTATGTACGTGTATTTACGTGCATGTGTATGTGTGTGTTTTCCAATCTTTTTTCAACTGCTTTAACAAGTTACAAATTTTTTCAGTCTCGTCTCCTTATCATGAATAGATGTTTATTGGGTGATGCCCAATTCGGAATATGTTGTTTTGTTAGTATGTAAAATTGGATCTGAAATTTTTGGCATATGTGATTAACTTTGGAATTAAGAATTATATAATAAAGGAAAGAGATTCTGTTATAAATAAATATTCATTTTAAAATAAGGCCATTTTCGGTTTTTGTATTGATTGATGTACCTATATCGATATTGAAGAACAGGTGCGAGAAGAAATGTATGTGGGTGGTTGAATGCAATTTTATTGTGTGTTGATAATTTTTATCTCATAAATGTTACTTATCAAAAAGTATCCAAGTGATTTAAAAAAAAAAAGTAACTGTTTGTCATTGCTGGGGATCGAGTGACAGCAAGTCTCGTCAAATCTTCAACATTGAAAGAGTTCTTAATGTTTTCATGTAGATAAACTTTTAGACCTTTGACCGATTCATGGATTTCTTGACTCCATATCCATCCGAAATGCATATAAAAATATTACTAAGAAATATTTTTATTTAGGAAAAAAAAATTCTTTTCATTTTTCTTTCATTGTTTTTCTCCGGATAAAATTAAATTTACCTATGTCTATATTTTCATTTCTTTGTCAATTTCTCGTCTTAAACGTATTTGTTCGAATCAAAATAATACTAAGGAGAAAATTATCATGAGAAAAATTTTCAGAAATACTATAGATAATAATAAACATATTAAAAATAAATTAATGTATCTTTTTTCCGTGGTTGAATGAGAAGTATCAAAGGCATTGATATTGACTGGAATCGTTTTTAGCGTAAGTTACCATGATTTATTTATCGACCACTTTTGACTTCCCCACTACGAGAATTTATCGACTCCCTGGGTAGTCTTATCGATCCAAATGTCGATATAGACTACATTGGAGACTCGTGATATACATAATATCATTACGTTATTTAGGACACTTCCCCGTCTACTAATTATTACGGGCACTACTGTCAACATTAACTGACCTATTCAGATTAATGATCGCATTTTGTTTTAGAATCAATGTTTTGACTATTTGTATTTATCCGGTCGCCATCGTTTCTTTTTTGTCATAGTTAATCTTACAGGAATTTTCAACCGAATCCTTTATTCGGTAGAGATTCTTCTTATTTATACTGTTCAGGGTAAGAAATAATTTTCAGTCAGTTTATTATTTCTTGTGATATTGGTTTCATTGATTCCATATACGGATTTCGCTGCCTGAGCCAAGTATCGAACTCACGTCTACAAGATATGTCAACACGGTATACCAACAATTTTATCCACCAGGATATTGTTCTGTGTGATAGACACCTGAAGAAAGATGGAGTTTAGCAACGGTTTTAACACTTTGTTGAGTGAGAATGAGAAATCTACTTTGAATAATGAAGTTTACGTTTTGTAGATATTCACGCATAGATATTTTCTTTGTAATTTGAACAACAATTTCTAGCTTCTTCGTTTCTTTTGGTTATAAAGAATGGAAATAAGATATTGTAAAAAGCCATATTTTTCATCTGATAAATAAAATCAACTTTAATAGGCATCATTATTTGATAGAAAATGAGAAGTGAATTGTTTTATTATTCCGGTGCTTTATAAACGGGAAATACCTGTTTAGAAAGCACGATTTGCAGTGGTGAAATTTATTTAGTTCATGCTACTTCTTGAAATTATTCTAATTTTCTATGCTAAAGTTTTTATATTATTATTATTATTATTATTATTATTATTATTATTATGTTTGTATGATCAAAGCTGAACAGGCTATTTTATCCGATTCCAACCAAATTTTAAGCAACAAGTATAACAGAAATATATAGAATACGAGGAAGACAGTGGCTATAATTCTATCCTTAGCTATGAAGCCCATTTGAATTCTTTCAGTGAAAGACATACATTATTTATTCATTTATTATACTTTTCTTAATCGGATCCAAGACTATAAACCCCTTTTCTTCTCGCCTCCTATTCCCAAACAGTCACCCATCCAAGTATATCAGTATAAGCACTGCTTAACTATAATAATCAAACATGATCTAATGTGCTCATCATCAACAGCGTGTATAGATTTAGGTAAGGTTAGCCTGATAGAAGCCACTATTGTATGATATTGAATTCATTACACGACAAAATGATCTACTAAACTAGTGTATTAAACATAGTATTACAGTTACACTAAGTACATTTCAGGCATAATCTTTGATTGTCTTCGTAATCTGGCATCGATCTGCCATAGAAAACAGATGTCCACAGTCTAATTATTTAAAAATTGAAAGTCATCATGACATTCTATTTATTTATTATCTTATGGCGTAAGTGTTTCTCATATATCAAATTTTAAGCGCACATGCACGCACACAAAGACATGTCCATCTACACAGACCGACCGACAGATAGACACACACACACGCACACACACACATACACACACACACGCGCACAAACGCACACGTAGAGCAGCTGAGGCCGAATTTAACCTCTGTCCTTTTTGCCCTGCTTTCGTGTTGTGTACGACTACAAGCATGGATGAATGACTTTGCCTGCTTCGCTAGGCAAATGTCAACCTCTGATGAGGATACCACGAACCCGGAATGCCGCGCACACGTACACATACAGGGGTTCTAGTGTATGTGACAAGGCCAAGTTTTTCAAGATTTCAATTCAGTGCGTTTATCTGTTTAAGGCACAGAGGTGCAAAATGGACTTATAGTCACGGCGCGGAAAAATCAACATAATTACGACGAATAGACATACACGCACATACGAAGAATCCTTGACCCCAGCAAAAGTCCCCCGACACACGCACACATATGTATATAGCAGAAGATCGTAACAAATTCTCAGCCTGGTGGAGAAGGATTCATAGAAATAAATGTTGATGTTAATACAAGGCGACAGATTTTTGCAGTAGTTCAGTCCAAGACAATTTTAATAACGCTTTTGAAGTAATAAAAATGTCTAAAAATAAATACATTAATTCGTTAGAAATTACTTTGTTTCCATTTCAAATACGAAATCGAGAAGATAGGGGGGATTTCGAGATTATCTGAACGAGGAACTGTGTATTCTTTAAATGACTAGATAGTACCTTGCTGGGTCGTGACGTTTTCTGTAACCGAGTGACCTAAAGGACACAGGATAAGACCGTGGTCAATCCTACGAAGGGGGACGCGTATGTTAGAACGCTTTTGGAGTGCAAATTTCATTCATTAAGTTTTCTCGAGAGCCTATGTTAAAAAAAAAGGTATCCATTAAAAATAACGTTTGAAGTTATAAAAATGTGGAATTAAAAATAAAATCGTTGTCTTCACACATACACACACACACACACACACATATATATATATATATATATATATATATATATATATATATATATATATATATATTGAACACAAAAAAAATTAAAAAATTAAAATCTTTAGACACACTGGGTTGTAGATTAATATTCTTTCGATTTTTTTATTATTATTATTCCATTTAGATTCCTCGACTAGTTTCGACCAAAATGGCCA